TTCTCCGCACCTGACGAAACTGACAAAGCCCGGAGAAATCGACGCTGAAGATTGCTTCGAGGCGAAGATGCACGCCGAGTGGGAGATGGACGGCTACGATGCGCCCCCATGGATGAAGTGAAGATCGACGCACCAGATGGACCGATGCCTCCCCTGTTCACCGTCATTTGCCGGGACGGGAGATTCTAAACGAAAGGTTCGATCCCCGTGAATTTTGCATCGGATCTTGAAGTTTGGTACGGAATTCGTCCTCGTTTCGGTGCCAATTTGTATCGTCTCATCGATTTTTTTTGCTATCTTGTTCATCGATTTGTTCTCGGGTTCTGTCACTGCTCCCTGCACGGCGCCGGCGCCGGCGCGAACGCTGCCGCACGGCCATCCGAATCCGTTCACCGCCGCTGTCACTGCTCCCTGCGTCTGCTGCGTCAGGAACGCAACACAATACAATGGCCAACGACCAGATCAGATCACAGGCCATATCCCCATAACCCCAGTCAGCGCAAGTAAACACAAGGAGGCAATCACCGAGAATTATTTGTTACAGTAATTCTATTGTTTCGTTTCAGGCAGAGGTACTTGAACATCCAGAAAGGGTTACATACACAAGTTCAGATAATCTTATTACTTTGCAGGAATCAGTCAAGACGAAGGCTGTTCGTTGTTGACGTTGCCGGTGCTCTGCCGTGGCGCCGCCGCAGCAGCAGCATGGTCAGTGAGGTTCCATGTCCACGCCGGGGTCATGCGAGAGCAAGATCATCTCGGCAAGCTCGCTCGAGGAGCCGTCGACGAAGCTCGTCCTGGACTCCGAGTTTGTGCAAAGGAGATCGTTGACAACCATATGAACAGAGGTGCTGTCAGTTGATGCCCCACTCTTGCCTCCATCGTCGCCTTCGGCGCGGACCGCAAATGAGTCCGTCGAGTCCGACATTTCATGAGCAGCTGCCACATTTTTGGTTCGGTAACTTTGGCATCGCGTCTCCTCTGCTTTGCTCAACTCAACATCATGAGCAGGTGAAGAGCTTCGACGTCTGTTCGGCGAAATGGTGTTGCTGGTAGTACCTTCATCATCATCTTCAGAGCCTGTCAGTGGGTTTGCAGCTTCACCATCCTTGCCCTGAGGGATTCCAAGGATCATGAGGGCACTTGTGTCCTGATGATCAGTAGCCACCCTTTCCAAAGTTCCATCCTCATCATGTTTGGGCGACGATTCCATGGTTTCAGGGTTTCCGACGATCAACATTCTATCTGCATTGACCCCTCCAGAGCAACTCCTAGCACTTTCGTTTTGCTTCACTTGGAGGGATGTTTCAGTGTCCAAATGGCCGAAACCCACCTCACTGCCAGTTTCAACAATGGGCTGCATGTCACCGAAACTGAGCCTGCGAAACAGGTTTGCATTTCCAGAATCTCCGAGAATCGATGATTTATCACCTGTGACATCTTCGCAGCAGCCTTGGGTCCTTTGCTGTTCATCTTGCGGTTGCACTTCGGTTTCGAGATAAGCTCCAGGCATCTCAGTACAGGTGTCATTAGATAATAAACAGATGCTATTGAGTTTGCAGTTTTCATCTGATACTGTCAGCATGTTCTCAGTATCACCAGCAACATCTTCACAGCAGCCTTGGTTCCTTTGTTGTTCATCTTGCAGCTGCACTTTGGTTTCGAGATAAGCTCCAGCCAGCTGAGTACATCTGTCATTACCCGACAAACTGATGCTCTTGAGTTTACAGTTCTCATCTGATACTGTCAGCATGTCCATAGGTTTGGTGTCTTTTGGAACCAATGCAGTTTCCCTTTCATACTCCTCTCCATGGTAAGATGCACTTGCTAACCGTGTCTTCTTCCTTGCTGCTTCCTGAACATCGGCAGTATAATCCGCTCCTCCTTCACAATTTGGATCCTTAGCACGCCGCTTAAAGTCCAAGAAAGGGATACTGATTTCTTCTTCAACAGTGACTTTGCAGCTCTCATGTACTTCAGCAAATAGGGGTTTATTTGATTCTCTGTCACAAGAGCTGTCGAAGAAACTTGTCCTGGACTCCGAGTTTGTTCCAAGTTCGTTGATGACCAGATGAACAGAGGTGCTGTTAGCTGACATCCCAATCTTGCTTCCGTAACCCTCGGCGCAGACCACAAATGAGTCCATCGAGTCCGACATTTCATGGGCAGCTGCTATATGTTTGGCTTGGTAACTTTGGTACTGCATCTCCTCTGCTTTGCTCAACTCAACATCACGAGGAGGTGAACTGCTTCGACGTCTGTTCGGGGACAGGGCGTTGGAAGTAGTATTTGCAACATCATCAGAGCCTGTCAGTGGGTCCGTAGCTTCACCATCTTTGCCCCGAGGGAGGGTGCCGGTGTCCTGATGATCAGTAGCCACCATTTCCAATGTTCCATCCTCATCATGGCTGGGCAAGGATTCCATGGTTTCAGGATTTTCGAGGATCAACGTTGTATCTGCATTAACCACTCCATAGCAGCTCCTAGAACTTTGGTTTTGTTTCTCTTGGAGGGATGTTTCAGTGTCCACATGGCCAAAACCCACCTCACTGCCAGTTTCAACAATGGTCTCCATGTCACCGAAATTGAGCCTGCGAAACAGGTGTGCATCAGAATCTCCGAGAACCGATGATTTATCACCTGAGACATCTTCACAGCTGCCTTGGTTTCTTTGCTGTTCATCTTGCAGTTGCACTTCGGTTTCGAGATAAGCTCCAGCCATCTAAGTACAGGTGTCATTAGATGACAAACTGATGCTATTGAGTTTACAGTTCTCATCTGGTACTGTCAGCATGTTCTCAGTGTCACCAGTAACATCTTCACGGTAGCTTTGGATCCTTTGCTGTTCATCTTGCAGCTTCACTTCGGTTTCGAGATAAGCTCCATCCATCTGAGTACATGTGTCATTAGATGACAAACTGATGTTCTTGTGTTTACAGTTCTCATCTGATACTGTCAGCATGTTCTCAGTATCACCGGTGACATCTTCACAACAGCCTTGGATCCTTTTCTGTTCATCGTGCAGTTGCACTTCAGTTTCGAGATAATCTCCAGCCATCTGAGCACTGGTGCCATTAGATGACAGACTGGTGCTCTTGAGTTTACAGTTTTCATCAGATACTGTCAGCATGTCCATACGTCTGGTGTCTTTTGGAACCAATGAAGTTTCACTTTCATACTCCTCTCCATGGTAAGATGCACTTAATAACCGCATCTTATTCGTTTCTGCTTCCTGAACATCGGTAGTATAATCTGGATCTCCTCCTTCAACATTTGGATCCTTGGCACACCGCGTAAAGTCCAAGAAAGGGGTCCTGATTTCTTCTTCAACAGTGACTTTGCAGATCTCATGTACTTCAGCAAACAGCGGGTGTTTATTTGATTCTTTGTCACAAGAGCCGTCGAAGAAACTTGTCCTGGACTCCGAGTTTGTTCCAAGTTCGTTGATGACCTGATGAACATAGGTGCTGTCAGTTGACATCCCAATCTGGCTTCCGTAACCCTCGACGCAGATCGCAAATGAGTCCGTGGAGTCTGAGATTTCATGGGCTGCTCCATGTTTTGTTTGGTAACTTTGGTATCGCATCTCCTCTTCTTTGCTCAACTCAAGATCACGAGGTGAAGTGCTTCGACGTCTGTTCGGCAACAAGTTGTTGGTACTATCTTTATCATCTTCAGAGCCTGTCAGTTGGTTTGTAGCTTCACCATCTTTGCCCTGAGGGAGGGTACTGGTGTCCTGGTGACCAGTTGCCACCATTTCAAAAGTTCCATCCTCATCATGGTTGGGCAAGGATTCCATGGTTTCAGGATTTTCGATGATCAACATTGTATCTGTATCAACCACTCCAGAGCAGCTCCTAGCACTTTGCTTTTGTTTCTCTTGGAGGGATGTTTCAGTGTCCACATGGCCAAAACCCACCTCACTGCCAGTTTCAACAATGGTCTGCATGTCACCAAAACTGAGCTTGCGAAACAGCTGTACATTTCCAGAATCTCCGAGCAATGATTTTTCACCTGTGACATCTTCACAGCAGCCTTCGATCCTTTTCTGTTCATCTTGCAGTTGCATTTCGGTTTCGCGATAAGCTCCAGCCATCTGAGTACAGGTGTCATTAGATGACAAACTGATGCTATTGAGTTTACAGTTCTCATCTGATACTACCGGCATGTTCTCAGTATCACCTGTATCATCTTCACGGCAGCCTTGGATCCTTTGCTGTTCATCTTTCAGTTGCACTTCGTTTTCGAGATAAGCTCCAGCCATTTGAGTACATGTGTCATTAGATAACAAACTGATGCTATTGAGTTTGCAGTTCTCATCTGATACTGTCAGCATGTCCATAGGTCTGGTGTCTTTTGAAACCAATGCAGTTTCACTTTCATCCTCTTCTCCATGGTAAGATGCACTTGCTAACCGTGTCTTCTTCGTTGCTGCTTCCTCAACATCGGCCATATAATCTGGATCTCCTCCTTCAACATTTGGATCCTTAGCACGCCACTTAAAATCCAAGACAGGGGTCCTGGTTTTTTCTTCAATGGTGACTTTGCGGCTCTCATGTACTTCAGCAAACATTGGGGGTTTATTTGACACTCTGTCAGAGGACCCGATCAAATTTTTACTACCTTCAGGAACAAACAGCCTTTTGCATGCGGCATATCGATCAGGTTCTTTAGTAGTAGTAGATACATCCCACAGGACTCTCTGAATGTTGCTTGGTTTTCCACCAGAGAACTTATTGGATCTTCTGTTGTCGTCCGAGACAAATGAATAGTCCAATGCTGGACCTTTTATCATCTTATGAGCTGAAGGCATACCCAATTTTGCACGATTATCACATGTAAAGGGCTTGTTCTGCTGTGCCCTCCGCCGTTTTCTCCTCTGATTAGGGGAACTGAAAGACTTAGCATTCTTTGATGGGAATGGTTTGGTCTTGAACTTCTGTCTTTGAACAAAAGATTCAGGTCTTCCCATTAACCGAGCAAACACGCTTTTTCGCTCTTCAGTCAGCGCGGAGCTTTGAATCTGCCAGGGGCTGATGGCAATCATCTTTCTTCGTGACACATGGTTGGTGGAAAGCTGTGTTCTCTTCAGAGTCACTACTGTCTTTAGATTCTGAAGAGTGGCTCTCATCTCCAAGCAAATCGAATAGAGTATCAACACCGTCTGAAGTATCATCCTCAAGCTGTAGTGGTATATAATCATCAGTAAACCTGTCATCCACTGCTTCTTGGGTGCCAGGTTCAGTGACAACGTCTGTATTTTCTGCAGTGTGCAAGGAAGATCTTGAGCTGTTGGACTTAGCCACATCAGAGATGTCTAGTTGTAACTCTCTGTGCTTTAATGACATAGGCTCAGATAACTTGTGACTCGGCGATGCTGCATGTTCGCCAACACTGGAGGAGGTACATGTTTGATAGGGGATTTTCAATGAACCATGTGAAGTGCTATTTGAACCAGACTGGTTATCAGTTTGGTTAACCACAGAAGAAATGTCAGACTCCCTTGGAGGTACATCCTGTAACCTTGGATTTTGACGAGGCTGTAATCTGTTCCTTGAAGAAAACAAGTGAAGGAGCTTTACAACCTGTATCAAAGAAACACCCTGGGATCAGTAGCTAATGTAAATTAACATAACACCAGAAGACTGTGAAACAGACCTGTTGATGTGTCAAACCATAATTAAACTTGTTTCTTGCGAAGTAATAATTATCTTGTACAGCATCTTCAAATTCACTTTCCATCAAAGGCTTGCAAAACCAAATCCTCTTAAAGCGTATCTGTATTTAGTGAACACAGCAAGAAAAGTATTAGTATGTCTCCCATAATATGAAAGGAAGGAAAAAATTCAGAGCATTACAGAAAATTGCTGACAGTTTCCTTTTACCATCTGAAAGGTGCAAATTAGTGTGAAATATGGAATAAGTGGAGGATAGATGCTCCAGGTGGGCTATCAAAGACATGTCGCTGAGAAATTTCATAGAAACCCTGGAATAAATGGAATAGATAACTATGCTTGGTATGTCTAAAACATATTCATACCTGACAAGGATACTGAAACCCTGATGAGGCATATGCATCAGGAATGATATTCATGGCTCCATCTGAAGTTGCTTCAAACACCCCATGAAGCTTATGCTGCTCAACATCATAGAGGAATAGTGTCGCGCCAGATTTCACTTTATGTATAAACTCAGTACATTTAGACGAAAGGCCAAAAAGCTTTCTGTGGAAGCACTCCTTCCTGGTCAGGTGGTTGCACAGAAAAACTGCTCCATCGTAGGCCGGAACATTCTTACTCTGTACCTTCCCCATCCAAAAATTCATTGGTTTTCTTTGATACCATGAAATAATCAGAACAAAAAAGGGTCAGGATATTAAAAATTAACTCAAATTCAAAGAGAAGAATCTAGAACATGCTTTCTAAGAAATGCAGTTATATACTTACTCCGTCCGGAATTAGTTGACACTCAAACGAATGTATCTAGCACTGAAATACGTATAGATAAATCTGTTTGAGCGTAAACTAATTCCTAACGGAGGGAGTATATTGTATAAAACTGTAAGATAAGGCAACAATAAAATGGTATGAAGCCAATCATCAATCATGACCAGAAGCTCATTTTTTTCCTTTAGGAAATCAGCAGGGGAGTTCCTACCTAGAAACAAACACGCTGAACTGAAGACAAACAAACAATTGCCAAAAGAGGATTGGCATGAAACACAAACACGGGCATCTTAATGACAGCACAAATATGGCGTAACACTTTTCAGTTTGACTAACCAACAATGGGGCCCCATATGCAATCCATTCCCATTCCCCACCTTGTGGGTCTACACTGCCTGATTTTGCAATGAAGCATGGGTTTCGACTGAACCATTTACATGCATTCTTTGCAACTGGAACACAAGATGCAGAGGTTCTCTCTCCCCTGACATAATGTTCTAGTAAGGGTTAAAAACTTGCAGATTTAACATTCAATAACGCCTGCCTGAAAACCAGCAAGATCCCCATCCCTACTACTTACTCCAACAAGTGTAATGCTAACAAGAGCAGCTCCAACTGCAGGATTTGTGCACAGGAAATCTTGCTACGATATATGCGCACATCTGACGAACAGAACCATCCATGGGCGCCGCTAGAGAAGGCACCCCGCAACTGTTGGTCCGGTCGCCGTTGTGAAACCCTGGCAAGAGCAAGAACCCGCGGATTGCTACGCCGCGCAGGCAAGATGCCGTGCCAAGACACGGCGTTCTTGGACGGACGGACGGATCCCCTGCTCTGCGGTTTCTGGGAGGGTTTTAGCGTTGAAAAACAAACAGAAACCCCGATTTCCCTGCCCTGCCAGGAACGATTCTACAGAGATTCCCCCCTCCTACGAGAACGATGCTGGCATGCCGCGGCGAACACAGGGCGACATGACGGGGGCGGAACATGAAAATCATGGCGAGAACAGGGACGGCCTAGGCATGGACTGCGGGGTAAAGCAAGAAATGGAAGAAAAAAACGCAGCAGGGGAAGAAACAGAGCAGGAAGCAAGGTACCGGAGGCCAATGCAGGAGGAGGGCGGCGGCGCGGCGTATCAGATCATGCTGGGCGGCGGGCTCGTCGGTGGGATCGGGGGAGGAGCGGCCGAGGAGGAGTAGGCGGAGGGGGTGAATGCTTCCGGTTCCTTGGCTTCCCGGTGGGGGTTTCTCTCCCTCCCTCGCCTTTACTTTTGGCTTTCTCGCTTGGCAGGGGAAGGCTGGACGGGTTGGTGAGGCGATCAGAGGGTGGCAGAACCCCCCACCCCACCCCTCTAGCCCTCTCTCATCTTCATTGCGAGCTCTGCCTTGCCTCTTTTTCGATGAGTTTCTTTCTGTTGCAGTCTGAAGGCTGATCGTGTGCCCCTCCCGTTCTGGTGCACGGTTCCGCTTGCCACCGGCACGAAACTTCCGCGAAGCTGCCGCGGCGATCCTATTTGCTTGCCCGTGGTGCTGTCCCGGATGGTGATCACGTACCGCCGTGCCCCCCTAACTTGTTGCTGGTTTTGGACGAGGCACCACCATTTTGGTAATGTGAATGTGATGGATCGTCGCATTTGGTTGATGCTGCTGTGGCCGCTCGCGTGACATCGTGTTGGAGGCACTTCGTGAGCCTGATATTTTGACCCTTTTGTGCACGTTTAGCCGCATCTGATCCCTCTTTGAAAAGTTTTTCGGATCTGACCCTTTTCCTACCGCCACCAGAGCTGACGGTAGGCTAGAACGCCCTACCGCCACCGACTCTGGCCGTAGGAACCGGGTCAACGTCGACGGCGTCGTCTGCCTGCTGATGTGGATAAGTGGCTACCGCCACTGACCGTTGCGGTAGGTCTAGGCAGCCTACTGCCAGAGACGGTGGCGGTAGGGTGCTGAATGCACAAAACCAATGGCTGGGGGTTAGGTGGGCCCCACAAGCCACCCATTCGCCCCCAAATCCTTTCTTCCCCGAGCTGAGCCCCTCTCCCCCTCTCTCCCCCATCCTAGGGCTCCATCAAATTCATCTCCATTGCTTGAGTTTTCTCGGATGGATTGAGGCATTTTCATCATTCAAGGTACCTCACCCACTCTCTTCTTTTTGGTTGGTTGGAATCAACTTATTTGATGGCATTGATTTTTTTATGCAAACCCTAGTTGTGCTACTTTTTGTGTGAAATCAATGGATTTGATGGATGGTAGATCTAGATCTAGGGTTGTATATGTGTGATTGACCATGTGTAGTGTGCTAACTTTGTTGTTTGTAGCTAGATCTATGGTTATTGTTTTGGTTATTTATAGGATTAGGGTTAGTGTTAAGCAAAGTCAGTTTTTAGTTGTTAGGGTTAAGCCATGATATTTTGTTCTTTAGTTGTTATTTGTTTTGTTGCTTAAATGTATTGCATAGAACTTTTATCGATCCATGGGATGCACAATGGATATTGTCCCATATTATGTTGCCGCCTATCGTTGACATTTTCTAAAATTTATTTAGATGGGTAGTCTCGTGAATCTCCATTATTTGGATAAGGAGACATTTATGAAGGGCAATGACGATGAAGGGGAAGAACACATGGTATTTGAGTATAGCCCAACCTATGAGGATGTAGTTGTGAAAGTTAGAAGTGTGTTACATTGGATGGACCCAAGTGATGAGGTTAAACTTATTGGAAGGTATGATGTTGGAGTGGGGGTGAAGTCTCGGTTGAAGAGTATGCCTATCACCTCGGAATTGCACTGGAAGGTGTACAAGGGTAAAGTAGAGCAATCGCAAGACAACTCACTTGAATTATTTGCCACCAAGTTTGATGCTCCTCTGCTACAAATTGACTTGAACCAGCATGCCTCCTCCCCAATACATGATGCTAGGGTTGAGGTGTATGTCCCCAATTCTTATAGCCAACCACCAAGTAGTCAATCAAATGAAGCGGAGATGAATGATAGAGCCACGGTAATTCAAGACCCAAAGATTCTAGCTATGGCTCATGTTGTTGATGATGATGCTTATGCGGAAGAAGAAGAGATTCATTACAGTCCAGTAGGTAACTTGGATGTCATTGTCCATCAACAAGACATGGATCGTAGCCTCCCTTATAACCGTATGTGTGGTTATGGCTCGGATGACGAGGGTCCTGAGGAAGATTTGGACGAAGATGGATTCACGGTGCAAGAAAATCAATTCTTCAAGGAGGTGCACGGCAAGGAAAGAGGACCCCCATTGTTTCGTGATCTTAGCCTTGCCGACCATGCCATTGTTGATGGTGGCATGAGACTGGGGTTGGTTGAACCAACACCGTGCCCGAGAGTCGGCGATCCAAGGCCAAAGGGTGAGGACGAGAATGCTCATTTGAAAAAAGGCATCAAGTTTGGGTGCTTCCAAGAGTTTAAGATGTGGTTGAGTGACTATGCCATTCGGAACCATAGGCCATTTGTTGTTGGTCATTCGAACCAAGAGGTGCGGTGCACCATGAAGTGTGACAAAGAAGGTTGTAAATGGAAGGTTCGTGGAAGAAAAATTCAAGAAACGGGGCAATGGGAGTTGAAAAGTTGTGTAGCTACTCACGAGTGCATACCTCCAGACAAAGATGACTGAAGCAAGGGCCACCGTCAACTCACTTCAGAGTTTCTTGGCTACAAATTATTGAATGAGATATCCCATGACCCAACCGTGAAGGTGAAGTTTCTGATGAGGATTGTTGAAAAAATGTATGGATACAAGATCAACTATGGGAAGGTATGGAGGCCAAGTCAAATGCTATTAGAATGTTGCACGGTGATTATGCGGCCGCATACAATATTCTTCCGAGGATGTTGGGAGCCATTGCACATAAGAACCCAGGCATGCAGCATGGGGTTGAGGACATTGACGGAGTGTTTCATCGTGCCTTCTGGAGTTTTGGGCAATGCATCGAGGCATTTAAGCATTGTCGTCCGATGTTGTCTATAGATGGCACTTTCTTGACCGACAAATACAAGGGCACACTAATGGTGGCAATGGCTCATTCATCCAATGATAACATGTTGTCGGTGGCCTTTGCTTTAGTTCCTTCCGAGCATGACGACAATTGTGAGTGGTTCATGGGGCATGTGAGGACCAAGGTGATTGGGAAGAGGCAGGTATGCATTATATCGGACCGACACCATGGCATTCTCAAAGCCATAGAAGTTGTCATTCCTGGGCTTCCAAAGCTTCATCAGCAATGGTGCATGAGGCATTTCGTGGCGAAATTTTACTGGGCATGCAAGAGCAAGGAGTTTTGCAAAGACCTTACCCATGTTTGTGTGGCATTCACCGTCAGTTCATTCAAAATCCGGTATGATAAACTCTTCAAGGCTTTGGCAAAGAACAAAGGTGGAAGAGCATTCTTGGAAAGGAATTGTGGGGAGAAGCATAAGTGGTCACACGCTTACGATGAAGGAGGTTGGAGATACGGTGACATGACGAGCAACATGGTTGAATGCTTCAACAATGTGCTTAAGGGCGTCCGTTCTTTGCCAGTGACTGCAATACTGAAATACACCTTCTTCAAGATGAACAAGTATTTTCTTAGGCATTCCGAAACCACCGCCAAATGGATAGGTGAGAAAAAAGAGTATCCCGACAAGGTTGATGATTGGTTGAGGTTTCAAGCAGGGAAGTCCTCGCATCAACAAATCATTAGATTCAACGACAAAGAAATGATGTACCAAGTGGATGAGCCAGGTGGCACAACACAAGATGGTGTGGCTTACGACGGTGTTGCGTATAAGGTGGACTTCAAGAACCGGTGGTGTCAGTGTGAGAGGCCTCATAAGTACCACTGGCCGTGCTCGCATTTGATGACGGCGGC